CTCAGAGACCTCTTATGGTACAGACAGCGGTAAGGAAAATCAAACCATGATACTCTTTATTCCAATAAGCATCTTAAATGTCTTGTGGCTCTGAGGGGGGATATAATAATAGCTGAAACGAAGTTTACGACCGTAATCTTCTTTTTCTCGTACGAATCCATGCCACGATATGTCACGTTCCTTTTTTACGCTTTAGAAAAGAAGTGATAAATTGAAGGAAACGATTAAATGAAATAACGGCAAGAAAGCAAATATTTAAGACATAACGATAAGCAGTTTAGGAATAAGGACGCTTTTGAATGGAGAATATCAACAGGGATTGTAAAAAACAAATTTGAAGAATTTATTCAAAATATTTCCAAGATGCACACGACAGAGCTACTTGTAAAGATGCTCAAAGATGCTCAAAGATGCGATAAAGTTGGATAATATTCCACATGAAAATGATCAGTTCAAGGCTAAGATGATTACTGATGAGCACAGGGAGGGAGGGGGGATTATTTATGAGCAAAGTGCGTAAGGTGTATAATACCTCTTTCAGACCCTTACCCCTTTTCTCCATTCTCGTTTCTAGCCAACAATTATTTTCTCTAGGTTATATAAGTTCAGTCTGCTCCTTGCTATTTGTGACCCGTTTTCCCTTGATCCCCAGGGACCTTGAAGAGCATGTTGTTGTTACCTAACGCCGTCGATCCTCGACACAGTTTTTTTACAATTTATGCCAAGTGAAACTACAAAATTAAATTTTTGAATGCATGATCATTTCGGTGAGTACACTTTATTATTCTTGTCATATCCGCATCTTGCTAATCTTTGGTTGTCTTTTCCGTGACAGGAGCAGTACAAGTTCTGTTACGAAATGGTACGATTGTTTGTGGACTCGTTCAGCGATTATGCGAACTTCAAGTGATGCGAAAATACTGGAATATCTTCACAAACAAGACAAGTGCTATACAAAGTGTTGCACATTACGTGAGGCCTCTTGTCTCAGAGAGCTGGTAGAGCCCCTTTAACATTATTTATGAAAAAAGATTCAATGCCCTCTTTGTTGGAGAAGTCAGCACAATTTCTCATCAGATAGAGAGAACAGACAACTCAAAGAAATAGATACAGTGATCTTTTCTCGATGAATGAAAAAAAAACCCTGTACGGAAAGAGAACTTCATGCCATAACGAAGTGAAGTTCATGAGTTGTTGGTAGTGGTTCTTTTGAAGTTAAAATGTGCTTCCCAAGTATACTTAAAAAGGAAAGGAAACGATTGTTTCGATCACGGTATTAATTTTGTTTCTGCAATAATGTTTAATTTTCATGGGTATTTTCTTGGAAAAGTGATGTAATAATTAAGATATTTTAAAATTGGTGCTAAATTGCTCAGACGCATAATTCTAGAATCTCTGTAATTACAACTGGACCTCACTTGACTTTTCCACGGTTTCATTAGGATTTCATCCCTTTACAAGCGCTCTCGGGATGTCCTGATAGAAAAAGTTTTTCCGTGATAATTGTTGGGATGTTCTGACAGCAAGTCAAGGGTTATTTTGTGTAGTGCTATTTTTAATGTAATATTTTGTATAGCTTCGAAGAAGGCATGCGCGAAAATCTTTTCATTTTTGATGCTATTACTTATTTTATTCATCCAATTGTATAAAGGCTTTCAGTCGAAGAGAACAAAAAGGTATTTTTATAAGAGTTATTTCTTTTGTAGCAAGAACTTTTTTTCAACAGTCGTCAAATTTACAAGATGCAAACGACACATAGAAGTGTAGAATACCTTTGTAGACAGAATTTGTAACACATACCAGTGCATAAGGTATTTTTTTGCAGCATGTAGAAACTTCAAGCCTGTGACTCGGATGGAGAGCCGTAGTTTTTTCGCAATTTCTCTCACGAATTATTTTTCATTAAACAAATTGGAGCCATTGAATATACATCGCTCCATATTTGAGTCTTGGGAAGTTTTTCATGGTAGTATTCTGTGCTTCAGACTCGTTTCCAGTCATGAGGAAGGTTTAGAGGAAAGCGCATAGCATCAGGGGGAAAACGTAATCTTAACGTCCTTTTCAGCATGACATGCAATGTTAATTATTAAGACAACCCCTTGCCCCCAGCTTTGTTGCCATTCGGTAGCAAATGGTATGACTTTGTCCTCAAAACAATATAGCAATAGATTCCAGACTAATTTTCAAGGTCCAAATTCCCAATCTGCAAAATATGGCTTAGTCTTAAACCTTCAAATATTTTTTACCACTTCGGTTCTGGATTACAAAAGCATTTTTTAGTAATCTAAAAGTGGTGCCCAAGTTTGGTAGGTCTGGTAACTCTTGTTCGTCACTATAAAGAGAACAAAATCGAATAAATATGCTTCGAAATCATTGATTGTATCAGTTGTATGTGCTGTAGCTTAGAGAGCGAATTCTGCTGCGGAAAACAATAGGGCTCTTTTGTCTGTTATTTTGTTTACCAAAAACATGGTTCGTGCAGAACCTGTCGATCAAGATCGCTCATGAAAAAGCTAAAACATCCACTTTGAGCGTCACCTTCGTTTGATGCCCCGCATTCCGCTCGTTGTGTAGCTTTTTCGCGCATGCTAAAGAAAGTATTGGCCCGAACGGACTCGCGCGATAGATGATCAAAATTCTCTCAGCCACGGAGCTGCGTTGCACGCGTTCAACGCGACGTGATACCGTAAACAACTCGGGGTTTTCTTTTACATTATTTGTTCTTTAAATCGATCTTTATCTTTGAGACGCGAATCTTCAATTATAAATTTCTTTTTGAGAATTTATGATAAGCATCATTAAACAAAAGGAATGGAGATTGACAGAAACCCAAAAATATTGTGAATGGCTTGGATTGTATACGATCTGATGAAAAACACGAGACGTGAGAACAATTAGAGTCCATTGGCTGTATGATTTACTTCAATTATTAAGTCAACATTAGTGGCTAGATCCATAGGTAACTGACACACTCTTACGGTCTGGGAAATCATCATCTCGTTACTCAACGAAGTTACCGAAAATCCGCAACATGCGCCTTACCCATAATGTCAACAAGCGCCCCTGTCACCCCGTCTTTCACTTCCTCACATAGAAAGATCAAGCTGTTTCTGTTTCTATCCGCTCCAACTTGAATCAGTACAGGAAAATTGTTTCATTTCACTTCCTTTTTTTTCTATTTCCAGGTGCTTGCTTTTCTTTTAATTTTTGTCTAAATTGCTGCGCCCTTGGTGTACGCTGTTAACTTCCCAGGAACAACTAGACCGTTCTCTGAAATGTTTACTGTTAAATCCCATTTATTTTTATCATTTTATCATGAATAAGGACACTGGTGCTTGTTCTAGGAAATATCGCATTTGGACATGTTTCAAGGTCGTAATTACACGCGAGATGAATGCGACCTTAAAACGCAAGTTTTGATAAAAATAATTAATATTGTGCTATCAAACACCACATTTCAAGGTAAAATGATTTTTAAGTCAGTTGCAAGAACGTACTGGTTAGAATTTGAGTTTAAACTTTAAAAAAAACCATTAACCAGTAACCACAAATGCTTCAAGAGGCCTTAAGGTCGGAGCCTGATTATCAGCGCTTGTGCAGAACGCTGGAAATGCCTTTTGGGAAGATAGACGAGAACCTCAAGGTAATTTAAAGCTTAGGAAAGACATTATTAACAGTTTACAATCTCTTGCCTCAGGCTTTTCCACAGGAAGCCCAAGTAATGAGCTCTTGAAACACAACACCTCCATTTGCTGTGAGGTAAGAGTCACGTTTCGCTAAATCAAACGGTTGTTACGTAATGATTTAATCGCAAAGGTCACGCATTGCTTTTCGTTTCGCACATGGCCTTTTTTTCTGACGGAAAATGAAAATATCCGTCCTCTTTCAGTGGGTCTTGATCACCTGTAAGTAAGATTGATGTATTAGAGAACAGCGAGGATATTGGCTGTTTTGATATTAAATCGACTTAAGGGATCCTGAAGAAACTATGTTAGGAAACCACATTGCTTTCCGTTCCAAGCTAAAAATAACCCACGTTTCGTATACATCGACATATTCAACACCCTCATTTCTCCTCTCTGTTCCCTTATTTTCTCTTGGCAGCAGCTTCTCAAAGACACGCTGAAAACCATGAGCAGCGGTGTATAAAATGGAAAGGTACCCATTATACAATAAACTCGCCTCTTATATAAGCCGCAGATTATTTTTCCTCGCAAAACAAAGGCCCTAATGTTACAACTGATAAAAAGAAAAAAAAAAACCTATTCATCTCAACGTAGGCTTATAACCTTAGAACATATTCAGCTTTGTATACCGTTTATCGGATGAAATTCCAGCTGGGCGGTTTCAAACAGAAGCTCTCCCACCCAAAAAGTTTACATAATCAAGTGTTATCAACTTCTTCTTTAGTCTGTGAAGAACACTTCGTGGTCATTTCTTACATCCAACCATGCAAGATCTCTCTGCTTGCACTTAAGAGACCCAAAACGCCCCACAGCATTCGCCCTGCTAGAAGTTTTCTGATTTTCTAAAGCGAGAGACGCTAGAGACTAGTTGCCTCGCCTGCAGAGGTTTAAAGGGCGATGAGGCCGAAGATTTAATGGTCTTTTACATACAGCATACTTTTCCTTAGCTGTAACAGTATTTGAAGGAAAACGTTTACTTCGACAAATATAGCAAGACGCGTTTATTGATCGTAGGCTTACACAAAAACAAAATCATAATCTCAGGGATCAGACACGTGACCGGACCATATATAGTAGAAGTCCATGTGCAATTTTTATAGAAGCTAATGTAGTGAAGTGGGTAATCAACGTTCCTCATGAAGTCACAGGACAACCAGGTTACGTAACAAACAGACGCATCTTGCTGTGACGTATCTTAGGGAGGGGGGGTTCTATGAGGCTCGCTCTTCGCTGGAATCACTCGTCACTTGCTATTACAGAGGGGCCACATTTCCCTGAACTTTCCTTAGAAACTGTAAAAATTTAGGAAGCTTGGCAGTAATCTGCTCCGGTTCCCAGTTTCCCTCATTTAGTACTTGGTCCCATTCTTCACAGTTGAGATGAACATTCGGCTTTTCATGATTGACAAAAAGACATTAAACAAACAAAATACATTAGTAATGAAAAGAAATTAAAAACAATATACAAATGCTGTAGCAATACTCACATCAACTGATCCCATTTAAGCACAGAAATAATTACTGATTGTAACTCCACGATACCTCATGGTCACGCTTCAGATGAATTGTGGGTCCTCTCATATAAATATTTTACAACGACGTTAATCCGACCATTCACTTCTTGTTACCAAAAGTTTACTTCTATTAAGAACCGAATCTTATTCAAATTTTCCAAATGAGTGGACATAACTGTTTAATAAATGCGACCCTTTTCGCTTATTGCCTGTATCTTGTAAAGTAATTAATAAAGACACGTCACCGAGCTGCCCACTTTGGGAGGTGGGATGTAAATGTAGAGATGTGATGTGAATGTGATGTGAATGCAATGTGATGTGAAGTATAATGTGAATGTAATGTGATGTGGTGTGATGTGAATGAGACGTGAACGTAATGTGATGTGAATATAATGTGAATGTAATGTGATGTGGTGTGATGTGAATGAGATGTGATATGAAGCTGAATGTGAATGTAATGTGATTTGATTTGATGTGAATGTGATGTGAATGTAAGGTAATGTGAATATGATGTAAACGTAATATGATGTGAATGGGATGTGAATGTGATGTGTGAGATGTGATGTGAATTTAATGTGATGGGATTTTATGTGAATGTAATGTGAACATAATGTGATGTAAATATGACGTATATGTAATGTGATGTCATGTAAATGTGATGTGAATGAGATATGATGTAATGTGAATGTGATGTAATGTGAATGCGATGTAATGTGAATGTGATGGGATGTGAATGTAACATGATGTGATTTGATGTGAAAGTGATATGATGTGAACGTAATGTTATGTGAATATGATGTAAATGTGAATGTGGTGTGATGTGATGTAATGTGAAGTGCATGTAACGTGATATGATTTGATGTGAATGTGATGTGATGTGAACGTAATGTGACCTGAATATGATGTAAACGGAATGTTAAAGTGAATGTGATGTGAACGTAATGTGATGCGAATGTGAATGTGAAAATGAATATGATGTGATGTGAACGTAAAAGTGATTTGAATATGATGTGGATGTAAAAGTGAATGTGACGTGAATGTAAAAGTGAATATGATGTGATTTGGCTAGACATGATGTGATGCGAATACGTTGTGATGTGGTATAATGTAGTATGATGCAAGTAAGTAACGCACCGATGACTCAGTGAGCGAAGGGACAAGCAAGGCTGTTTTGTGGACACTTAACATCTCAGGCATCAAAAGCAACGGAACAACAGGCAAGGCAACAAGGTTGTGGCTGAAGTTAATCTTAGGGAAAAAAATGAACATCTGCCTCTAAGCCCGATTCCGTTGCTTTCCTTGTACAATCGAATCTGTTCAATCCTACAAATGTATCTCCATATGTTCCAAAATAGAGTCGAGTTTCGTGTATCTAAACCGTAGTTATGCTACTCCTTCAGATATCAGGTTTTAAACAAAATAAATATGAGCTCATATCGCTAACTAGGCCACCTGTGATCGAACGAAGAAAAAATGATATTCATGAAGAATTGCACCTGATGGTGAGGACGAATTTGAATCAGGGAAATGTATATAAGTGTTAAACTGTTTGTGTATGATTAACAATACCTTCGCTTCTGATTCATTGAAACTGTACGCATCAGTCTGGTCGGCATTCACTTTGTTTAACTGGTCTTTGCTAACCGTTAAAGTAAACGCGTCTCCGTCATGTTCATACCGATATGTCTTTCGAAGGCAGCGGCGCTGAAAAGACAGGTCAAAACCCATCTGGTAGCTCGGAAATTGGTGGAAACTTCAGCTGACCATCATCAATCCTCATCTTCATGAGGTAGTTTTCTAAAAGTTTGCGCTCTTTTTTCTGCTTGTGGTTTTGTTTGTGGAAACTTTGGAACTAAAAAGAGGAAAGAAGTGAGGTCAGACTATGTCCTTTTTGTTCTGCATAGTAACATACATGCAATTTTTTTCATTCGAGTCTCAAACCTTAAATTATCGCCATTTCAATTTCATTATATGTGATGGGTGGACCAACCACTTGAAGTTAATTATATTCAGATTTTAGGCCCTGCCCTTTCACCGACCAGGCTTAAGGTGACCATCAAACTTAGTCTGGCGTGCTAATAACCTATTTAGCCTGAAATTTTTTCTGTTCTTGAATGGGAAGGAAATGCCACGAAGTTGTAAGCAACTATATTATCATAAATGTCCCAAAGTCATATCTAGAGAAGTAAATAACACGCAGAATCATATGATACAGAATCATAATATTTCTTTCATCTTAAGTTTGAGAGAAACGTTTCCTTACATGTTCGTATTTTCAAACGGCAATCAAATCCTGCAGACGGCGATAGAATGTCGATTGTCATTTGCTGATTAAATGTATCGCTGATGTAGAAAATTGGTGAGTTCGATGTATCTCCACTATGGTCGTCATGCAAGATTTCTGTCAAGGTGTTTCTGACAGAAAGTTGAGGGCTGCGACGGAACGCCAGGGAAGACGCTGAAGCGCCTTCGACCCCAGGTTCTTTTTCGATGAGCCATACCTAATAACAGAGGGATAATGATAACAAATAAAGAGGGAAAATTTGGTCGGGCCCTGGCTAATTTACACCGTCTGTAAGTGAAATCTTGGTGAACTGGTTTAACAACACTTTTATATTCTTTAACTGGCCAGACGCGAAACAAAATGTCAGAAGGCTCTCTTCTGCTAGACGTGTAATCATGCTTGTCTGTTACTGCAGTGTTACCAACCCTACACAGCCTCTATTTCGATAGCTCAGAGTTCATCAGCAAAAAAATTACTTGAAACTGCTCAAGGTATAAGGATCACAAATCAAGACAATATCCCTTAATTCGTCGTGTTATCTCCCTGTACACTATTTGATACAATATGCATAATAGAACACCATGGTGCTCACAGAGCTACCTTAAAATCAATCGACACCATAGGTTTGATAAAAAGTATAGAAGGCCAGATCGTTAAGAACATTTTGGTAGAGTAGAAACACGCCTTCAGGAGCTTTAATAGAGTTAATAAAAAGCTGTTGAACGCTATGTGAACTGTGGGGTTGTAAAATTTCCTTTTATCTGAGCTAACATGGCTTAATGTTTGGGTTAGGATGGTTAGGACGGAGATCTAGCATTTTTCTCGATCGAACGTTTTAATTGGTTAATTTAAAGTGAACGAAATGGTAGTTAACACAATTAGAAAGGTGATGGCATCTTAGGCCTAGTTAACGATGCTTAAGGATTAACGAACAAAGGTGGAGACGTGAATCAGCTTGGGTTCGACATCTGTCTACCTTTAGCTTGACATAGATGTCTTTTTCGGGTTGAGTGTGCTTGCTTAGTGACCTTAGTCTAGAGGCAACGGTAGCCCCAACCCGGCAGGAAAAATGATTCGGCACATGTTTGGGTTAGGATGATGAGGATGGAAATCTAGCATTTTTCTCCATCGAACGTTTTAATTGGTTAATTTAAAGTGAACGAAATGGTAGTTAACACAATTAGAAAGGTGATGGCATCTTAGGCCTAGTTAACGATGCTTAAGGATTAACGAACAAAGGTGGAGACGTGAATCAGCTTGGGTTCGACATCTGTCTACCTTTAGCTTGACATAGATGTCTTTTTCGGGTTGAGTGTGCTTGCTTATTGACCATAGTCTAGAGGCGACGGTAGCCCCAACCCGGCAGAAAAAATGATTTGGTACATGGTTAAATTACCTTGACTAGAAATTCTAAACCAGATGGCGTTAAGAAGGTGAGGTCGTATCGTAGGTCATCACTAGCTGTGCATGCATAAGCTTTGAGAGACTTTTCAGTCTGCTCAACTTCGATTGTCTCAACTTTCCGGAATATTGTCTCCCAACGATCGTCATCCTTTGATTCAATTCTCGCTTTGACCTCCTTCAGGGTGAAGATGTCATCCTCTTCATCTACCGAAAGAAGTATGAAAAAATCTCTAATTGATACCTCACCAATTCGCCGAAAGACTCATAAAATCTACAGGACTGACCTTCATCAACCTTGATTAGGTAGGCGTGACCAAAATAACACGAAATAACTACCATGACCATCTCCTCCTCCTTCTTTTTGTGAATTTGCTTCAAAAACCGCAGGACTTCTTCTTCTAGGATTTCCGTGCCCACAAAACCAGAGGGTGTTTCCTTTGAAATAATACATTCATTAGTTGAAGTAGCCGGCAAGATCTAAAAACACACCTTTCATAGTGAAACGTTCACAAGAACCATCACGCACAGTTTCGTGGATAAGAAAAAGTCTAAGAGATAAATAGACCTGGTGTTTGCAGTTCTTAAATTCTCTTCAATGCTTGATGATTTCTCGACATGATTTCATCACATCGTTGGTATAAAAACCTGAACGTAGCTCTAATGTAAGACGACGAAGCAACTGCAGTTCTGTACTTTTATGCTGAATCTCTTGTTGTGCCGCCTTTTTACTTCCAAAACACTCGCCCATGGGCGGCTAAGCAAGTTAAAGACGAAGCCTGCTGGCTAAACTAGTTTTTGGCCGACGGAATGGGTTGATGTGTAACTTTTGCTTGCAATATCATTAACACTCCTAGATTACCATCTAGCAAATATCGTCTTGTTGTATCAAGAGATTTTCAAAAGGGACATTAAAGAGAATCTATGGTAGTTAGAAAGGATAGTTAGTAATCGAGTCTTGCGAGCGAAGGGACCAGCACAACTAGTTCTGTTTCCGTGAGTGTCTCAACGAACTATTCTTTTTCAAGTTGAAACGGTGGTCGAAGCCCTCTTCCAGTACTCCCAGGAGGGTTCCGATAAAAATAGGGTTGAATAATTAAAGAAAAAATAAAATTATTAGCTTTCACAGCATTTTTTGTTAGGTATTTCCTTCAAGACAGATTTGAAGTCAACGACATACCCCTTTTAAAGGATCGTCCTGTAGTTTTAATTTGAAACACTTGTCTCTGGTTGGTGGCGGTTGTGCGATGGATAGCTTAAACTCATGGTCTTCTTCCAAATGTGCAGTGTCCACATGGACAACTTTTGCAACGTATTTTTCCTTGCCTCCATTCTTCATAGGGGAGAAAAATGATAATCGCATACATAACATGGTAAGTAACGTTCCCTTTGAATTCAATAGGCATTTGGTGTAATTGTTCCGGTTATTAGAGAGATGCACGCGCTCTGATGGGTCGAGGATTGCGTCTTACCTAACTATAATCACCTCGCGCGAGGAAGCGCCAGGTAATTGTGGCAGGAGTGCTAAATTTCAAAGTGGTTGCCTCGCCTTTTGTCAATGTTTGCGAGGAAGTGATGAGCACGATAGAAGAAAATTCAACCGCGAAAAGCAAAAGAGGGATATTAAGTTTTTGTTGATTTAATTAAATAGACCCGCCAAAGCTCCTTGCTTATCTTGATACGAGTAATCACCAGCACCTGAGCAATTATACTAAAACAATTATCGCCTCAGGCTCAGTGAACACTGTTGAGTAATCCTCGAGACGATAATTCAACAACATTCACTGAACCTGAGGCGAATAATTGTTAAATATACACCTCTGTAATTTCAAAATCATACGTATTGTGTGGGATTTATCAAGAGGACATGTTGGGCTTGTTACCTGATTATGGCCACTGATGTCTTCACCATTAAAGATATGTTTTATCCACTGGTCACTGAAGCCTGTTACCATAATCTTTTTATCAGGCTCCCAAGGGGAACAGAGATTCTGCAGGCGATCGAGTTGTGCTTGCATTAGGAATTGGGTAATTGGTTTTCATTAGCGGTGGTCAATTATGGAAGTTGTACCTTAAACTCAGCTTACTAGCAAGCACAGACAAGCAAAATCAAATTAACTGACTGCTCATTGACTGATTCGCTCCGTTGCTTGCAACTTGATAATATTCTGGGAGTCGCTGGATATTGGTATTCTGTCCCTTGGTAATATACACCTGAAAAATCCCACAAAGTACCCTATATGTCACAGAGCGACTTACCATGGTTTCCTTTATTTCCCGAATAGCTTGCTTCTTGCTCTCAGGAGATCCCTTGATATACAAGCTATTCTTCTCAGAGACTTTCAAAGTTGCCTTAGTTTTCGCTTCTATTTTTTCCAAATTCTTACGGTTTTTCCCAATTACTTTAGCCATGAAATCTTCTGGTATGAAGGTCAACTCTTCCCAAGACCCTCGGTCAGGGCTGTCTTCTCCCTGGTTGACATGTTTAAAATGCAAAAAAATATTGAGCTTTAAATGTAGTTACGGGAGTGAGAAAAATTACGGAAAGAAAGGAGGAAGGTAGGGAAGGAAGGAAGGCAGAAACAAAGGAAGTAGGAGGGAGAGGAGGCAAGGAGAGGGTAGAGATAAAGGAGGGTTGGAAGGAAGTAAAGTAAGTGGGAAAGAAGAAAGGAACGAACAATAGAAAGAAGGAAAGAAGAAAAAAGAGAGAGGAGGAAGGGAGGAAGGAAGGAAAGGAAGAAGCAAAAGGAAGGATGATGGAAGGGAACAGAAGAATAGAGGAAGAAAATGAGGAAGAATGGAAGGATGGAAGGATTGAAGGACAGAAGAATAGAGCAAAGAAGAAGGATGAAGATTGAAGGACAAGAAAATAAGGAGAAGTGGAAGGATGGAAGGATTGAAGGACAGAAGAATGGAGGGAAGAAAGGAAGGAAATAAGGAGAAAATAGAAGGATGGAAGGATTGAAGGAAAGAAGAATAGAGGGAAGAAATGGGAAGCAAATAAGGAGGAAACAAATAAAAAGTAAGGATGGAAGGATTGAAGGACAGAAGAATAGAGAGAAAAAAGGAAGCAAATAAGGAGAAATGGAAGGATGGAAGGATTGAAGGACAGAAGAATAGATGGAAGAAAGGAAGCAAATAAGAAGGAATGGAAGGATGGAAGGATTGAAAGATTGAAAGACAGAAGAATAGATGGAAGAAAGGAAGCAAATAAAAAGAAATGGAAGGATCGAAGGATTGAAGGACAGAAGAATAGAGGGAAGAAAGGAAGCAAATAAGGAGAAATAAGAATATAAGGAAGCAGATAGGGAGGAATGGAATGGAATGGATGGAAGGATTGTGGGAACCAAACTTCCGTTTCGAATAAAAGATTTAATCCTCACAAAGTGAAAACTCAAATCACTAGAAAAACACAACTCAAAATCTCTGCTCTCTCAAAAACGTCCGCGATACGTATTTTTACGGGGTACGTAACTGGAACCGAGGCTCACAATTTTAAAACGAGGTTATCAGTCACGCAACTCAAAAAAAAAAAAAAAACAGTCACGACAGGATTGAAGGACAGAAAAATTGAAGGACAGGAAGTAAGGAAGCAAATAAGGAGTAATGGAATGGATAGAAAGATTGAAGGACAGAAGAATGGAGGGAAGAAAGGAAACAAATAAGTAGGAAAAGAAGGATGGAAGGATTGAAGGACAGAAAAATGGAAGGAAGTAAGGAAACAGATAAGGAGAAATGTAAGGATGGAAGGATTGAAGGACAGAAGAATAGAGGGAAGAAAGGAAGCAAATAAGGAGCAAAGTAAGGATGGAAGGATTGAAGGACAGGAGAATAGAGGGAAGAAAGGAAGCAAATAAGGAGAAATGGAAGGATGGAAGGATTGAAGGACAGAAGAATAGAGGGAAGAAAGGAAGCAAATAAGGAGAAATGGAAGGATGGAAGGATTGAAGGACAGAAGAATAGATGGAAGTAAGGAAGCAAATAAGGAGAAATGGAAGGATGGAAGGATTGAAGGACAGAAGAATAGAGGGAAGAAAGGAAACAAATATGGAGAAATGGAAGGATGGAAGGATTGAAGGACAGAAGCATAGATGGAATCAGGGTTGGACACTTAATTTTGAGAGCACTCGCCATTTAGGCGAGTAACCCTCAAAATGCACTCGCCCGGATAAGTTTTCACTCGCCCAAAAGTTTACCCCCCCCTTTTTTTAAGGGGGGGGTTTTTAACTTCAATGAAAAATTCTAGTTTAAGACCTTAAACCCCAAGAAATCACAATAGAGGCACTTACTTTATATTTCACATAGTTTTTTATTGATGAATCTCGGTGAGCTCCCTGCAGTTTGCGGCAAAACGTGTCTGTACTTCCAGCTTGAACGCCATGTTTACCTGATCACCGAGGGCTCGATAGTGACCAGCAGTATCACTTTGCAAAAGTACACGGTTTATGTAATTATCACAAGGCGGAAGCCATTGTTGTTTTCTATTTTGTTGCGCTTCAGCGCCCATTTTTGGACAATTTGGGTATAAAACTTTGCCATACAGATATGGACTATGGTAAGTTTGTGTTTAGAGATCTCTCGGCAAAACAGAGTAAAAAAAACATCGTTTATTTTGCAATTTAATCAATTTCTTGGCGATGAAAATCACACTCGCCAAACGGGCGAGTGATTCAGGATTTGCACTCGCCCGACATTTTTTTGACACTCGCCTGGGCGAGTGGGCGAGCGCTAATGTCCAACCCTGAATTGGAAGAAAGGAAGCAAATAAGGAGAAATGGAAGGATGGAAGGATTGAAGGACAGAAGAATAGAGAGAAGAAAGGAAGAAAATAAGGAGAAATGGAAGGATGGAAGGATTGAAGGACAGAAGAATAGAGAGAAGAAAGGAAGCAAATAAGGAGAAATGGAAGGATTGAAGGACAGAAGAATAGAGGGAAGAAAGGAAGCAAATAAGGAGAAATGGAAGGATGGAAGGATTGAAGGACAGAAGAATAGATGGAAGAAAGGAAGCAAATAAGGAGAAATGGAAGGATGGAAGGATTGAAGGACAGAAGAATAGAGGGAAGAAAGGAAACAAATAAGGAGAAATGGAAAGATAGAAGGATTGAAGGACAGAAGAATAGAGAGAAGAAAGGAAGAAAATAAGGAGAAATGTAAGGATGGAAGGATTGAAGGACAGAAGAATAGAGAGAAGAAAGGGAAAAAAATAAGGAGAAATGTAAGGATGGAAGGATTGAAGGACAGGAGAATAGAGGGAAGAAAGGAATCAAATAAGGAGAAATGGAAGGATTGGAAGGATTGAAGGACAGAAGAATAGAGAAGAAAGGAAGCAAATAAGAAGGAATGGAAGGATGGAAGGATTGAAGGACAGAAGAATAGAGGGAAGAAAGGAAGCAAATATGGAAGGATGGAAGGATGGAAGGACAGGAGAATGGAGAGATGGAAGGAAGGAAAGATGTGGGGATGGAAAATAGATGGCCTTGTGACCCACTCCACAGTCACTAACATGTATGCTAACCGCTAAAATCATCGGTGCAAACTTTGCTTTGGATAAGTTTTTCTACGGCTATGAGGAAGTTAACAAAACAACACAATAAATAATAACATAAAAGGGGTAAAAATAAATGTAAAACTCACACATAGGACCTTTCTGATAATTTGTTTTGCACAGGTGCGTTGTTCATCTGTTCCTTTTATGTGAACACGTTCTTCCTTGATGAATAAGTCCTGGACTCCACTTCGGGTGATTATATCCATTATTCTCCAACCTTTTTTTCCTATTATAAGTCCCACCTTTCTCTTTGGGATGTCTATTTCTTCCTCCTTGAAATTTGCAGTGACAGCTTTTTTCATGCCAGCTTGGTTGGCCTTCTGCTTTTCGTTTTTATGTTCATCTTTCTTCTCTTGTCCTTTTGATTCTTCACCTTTCAACAACACACTCGACATCTCTGCCAAAGATTATAAATTTTTCTTTCATTTGCATTCTATCTCTTTCTTCCACTCATAACTAGCCTTGGAGTAGTATTCAGGTTAATTTTTCTCTCCAAACTCAGTAAAATGAATGTGAAATCATAAACGCCAAGTCATGAATGCAAATCATCAACAACGCGATCGCAATTTGCTTCCTTATGTGCCCTTGACAACTAAGTATACAACTGTAAAATGTCCCATTGGAAGTTCTACCCTGAAATTTCGAGAGTTCTGATTTAAAATTGTCCGATACATGAACTTCCCATTGAGCTTGCATAAAGAAACCAATCAAATCACAGGTAAATGAAAACAACGTTTGCAACTTCCTATAAACCAGCTCAAAAGACATATTTACTGATTTTTAGCTAAAATTGCGTGACAGGTGTAGTTGAGAGAACCTTGTCACGGTTACAGATTTTAAAAGGCATTCATAACAAAAATACAGCAGTGCCCAAATATTTTTTTGATGCTTCTTAGAATTCTGGCAGGGAGAGAAATTTGGCTTCAAAGTTATCAAATATTTGGATGAATCGAAAGGTCTAATAACTTAGTCATTCATTTGTCTCTGTTGATTGACAAGCTTTCCATCAAATTGATCAATAATTGTGTTGTACATTAATTAAGGATGTAAAATATGTACTAAGCAAACCCTTAGAGTAATCAACTAGATACCATCAGAGTAAGAGCTTCATACATTTTAACCTATTTTGTAATGATTTCTAGCAAAGCGAAAACCAATTGCATCTGTTCCCCTCCTAGTTGAAACGTCTATTCAGAGGACATTTTTTCTAGTCCTGTAGTGTCACCTAAATGGAAGTTCCACTCTGAACTTCCAAGAATTCACATTTAAAATTGTCAGATACAAGAACTTGTCACAGAACTTGTTTAAAGAAATCAATCAAATTGCAGGATAATGAAAAACAACGTTTGCAACTTTCCATAAACCAGTTCACTACTGAATCCATAACATATTTCTACAGCTAGCTCTGACTAAAAAAAAAAATCCTGTATCCAAGCAACTGAATTTGGCCATTTCAAAATTAATGTAATATAGTGCTAATTGAAATTTCTGTTGCACAATTTTGGTCTGAAATCATACTTCTGATTTCAAATCGTGCCGACTAAGGTGCACCTCATTTAGGTCAATTACCACTATGAATTGTTTTACGAAAGCGATTTGCAAGCGGATGCTCATACCCAGGCTCCCTCTGCTTCCCATATTTTTTGCGACTCACTTTCCTGAACGGAAAGGCGACAGGAAATAAAACGTTTTACACTGTGGTCAAATGCCCAGCTGCTGCTCACGATCTCAAACAGACTATAAAATACCTGGAAGCTAGGCAATTTTCAGAAAATTTCTCTTGAAATATTCTTTCAAACTTCCCTTTGGTATCACGTTTTTCGGTTTTTGTTTAGAAATGTCGAGCGATCCCAAAAATTCTTTCAGTAAGAAGTCTGTAAAATTCCCAACTTCCGGGCGAGTGTGCCCCCAGACATTTGACCGTGTTTTGAGAGCCCCATGTAAGAACAACTTTGATACCGTATACGTATTTAAGTTTGGCTCATTGCAAAATCTCATTCACGCGTAAATTGGTGACCTAAGTGAGGTCGTAAATGGAAATACTTCAAATAATTGGCGAAGAAAGTGGACGTATTCCTTCATGAGAGCTTGTGAGAGCTGATGACATTGAGAAAAATTTCTGCTTTTGTAAACTTGGTCACTCAAAAGAGATTGTCTCTAAGGGACCTTTGGTTCGACGAGTCTACGGTCCTAAGATTTCCATCGACTTGTTTCTTGTTCATAATTAAGCTGTTTCATGACGATTATGTCTTATTTAAACATACACACCTAAGGAAAGACTTACAAACCTTTTGCATTACACGAACGTACGCTGGATATCTCACTTTATAAAACATTATTCAGATAGTGCGCGCGCTCTGATTGGCCATAAAACCATTTTACATGAGCGTATGTAAACGCGGTTTTCGTTCCTCTTTTATTAGCTATTTTATGGTGGTTTCCAGCTTATCGAGTGTTCTCCCAACCTCCCGCGTGTTTACATCAGGCTATGTAAACACGGAAACCATTTTACATTTCTTCACCGTAAACACGCTCTCTAATAATAGCAAGAACATTACCTCAAATTTAGAACGAACGCGAAGCAAGCTTCAGGGATCTTTACGTGGTCGTACTGGCAGGTGCTTAATGATCCTAAGAGGAACGTGTTCCTTGACGCTTTGGTTCAGCGAATTGCGGTAAAGTTACGAGGGAAAGGATGTATTTCTTGTTCTGAAACAAACGACTGAGAAGCTAAAGGATAGCGATTCATCGAAATTGACCTCTGACTTGACGCTCAGTCTTTCGGGAAAAACACAATTACATATTGAAGAGATATTTCCTAACAGGGGAAGACTAAGTTTTCAAGTGCACAACATCTTCTTTCTTCTCTTCTTCTCTGTTTTGGGTCCCAGAACCCACTTTCCTGAGCCGAGACAAGAAGATTAACTAAATGCGGATACAAGTTATACTCACCCAGATCAACACTTCCGCGTGATACTTGGTGAAGACTTGAGCGCTCTCCAACACCCCCTCCCTCAGGTAACAACTTGTGGACAACCTCAGTGGGAAGTTTTACATAAAGGTAGCATACCTTCGTGGAAAATATGGCGAATGAAGATATCGATAAATTTTGCGAAGATGTATTGCTCCAGAAAGATTACGAGAAGCGTTACAAGGAATTCTTTACTAGCGTGAAAATAGCTACAAGAGGGAAAAATACTATCAAAGATAGCTCTTGTTACAAACTTGAAACTTACCATGACACGTACAGATATCGAAAGGCGTTACTGAAGGTGTTCATTGCCAAAAAGAAGTCGGAAAACTTCAAATTAACCCATACAACGATACCACAGTTTTTTCGCGAGCTTGAAGGTTATACATACGCAGAAGAGGCTGCAGATAAACGCAAGGAAAGTGAAAGCGGACCTTCTCTTGTTAATGTTTTTGGGAAGGATGATTTCAAGGTAGAGGGTGTTGTTATCCGAAAGACAAACCGGGAAGCATGGATTTTGGTGAATAAAACCTGCATGTTTAATGGAAAGGAGTATGAAAAAGTCGAGCTTCTTCTCGACCTTGAAACGTTTGGCGCAGATGATGTCAGCAGAGCATTTCTTAAAGTGGGTGACATTCTTGAGATTGCAAAAGGTCCCAAAGAAACCGAAATAGCTCTGGAGCCAGAAATTATTTGGTAGGTTGAGTACATACGTTTTAAAAAAACTGTATTTGAGCAGATAACATGATCAGGAACGACATCGCTTAACATATTAATGATAGAAATGAAAAAGAATTATCCATCAATAGAAGCCTCTTATCTATTGCAAATAAAAGACTTCCTTTGATGGACAATTCAAACCCTTTCTCCCTTAAAATAAGTTTGCATATTCTCTAAACTGTTCTCTATATATTTCTTAAGGTGCTGACAAGGAGAATTTGGTAACAATCAATAGCTTTGTTAGTTGGTGATCATTTACTTTATTCTCATGACCTCAATGTTTGATTCAGGGGTGATACTGTGAGGAGAAATTAGATGCTATTCTGACCCTTGGGGTTTAAGTTGGGCAGTGACATGGGTTAGTACCATGATACATTATACACCCTTAATTTCCATAAGTTATCATCACCCAACTTCTCACAACATGACCAGATTGTTCAAAAGACAGGCATTGGTTAAATGAAGAACTGTTTCACCTTAAGTATATTTAATTGACTTTAGATGGTCAGCTGAATAAATGGTACCTAAAGGGTTGATTTTTATGCTTTCACTTTTCAGCTGTTACAAATTATCTGAGAAAGAGATTGAAGCATTTCTCAACCATGTGCATAGGGTAAAAAGTGATGGGTCATCTGCTGCTACAGCTGAGCTGCTAAGGTAAATAATGTCAATAAATAACCTGATTCGGAGAGGGCAGTTACTGGTAAATGAATTGTTTATTTACTCAATACAAAGACTTTTGCATGGCAAAAAACTATCAGTTACAAGTTGACAACTACAAAACACCAATTATCCATGTGCTTGCTCTCTTTTTTCAATCACATCCTATAACAAGTCACAACAACTGCAGTATCCTGCAAGCAGCAGAGTGCCTCTTATTTTAAGACATAAATTGGTTCAATTGTCTTTCTAGTTCCCAGCTTATTGGCCAAATTTGAGTTACTTACTCAAATCCAGTTTTACCAGGTAATAGTCCATTTTACAGTGCTTGGTTGCCAAGCCTTTGAACAGGAATGAGGCTAAGGGCCACCTTGTTATGATACAAACCTGTTACTGCTTTTCAAATGCAAATTAATTTGTTATCATGCTAACTAGATGCTGGTCTCTATCACAACAAGATCACCTTCAGCCTCACTCCAAATCAAAGGCTTGGCAACTAAGTACACAACTATAAAATGGGCTATTAAACATATAGAACATAAAAATCCTTTTTTTGTAAATAAAATACTTTAGACCACACAATTATAATAATCTTAGTTTGTTCAAATTGAATTGCTTAATCTTCCATTTAACTAACTGAATGTTTGTTGAAATCATGAAATTATATAAAATAGGGCACATATATATCAGTTGACGATTCATTCCTTTAGTCTTTAACTGTATGTACTGAAACACTAAGAGTGAATTTTTATATGTTAATGGGGAAAGTGATGTTCAGATGACATGGTATTTTATTGCAAGTAACTTTTATGCACAATATGTAACAACTATTAAACTGAGCTTTAAGCAGCCAGGTAAATATCCACCACTGGCCACTGACTCTGATGACATGCGAAGGTGATCCGTTGTTTTATTATATACTAAAGCAGTAAGATAGTATGGCAGAAAAAGATGATTTAAACTATATGTTTATGGATGCATTAGTCCCACTTGCACTGATGCTCAGAAGTGAAAGGCTATTAAAGAATATTCAGAGTTTGAGTAACCAATGAGAATGTGTCTCCAGCACTATATCCAGGGTTTTATTAATTACTAAAATGATGTTATTTACTGAAAATTTACTGACCCTTATAGCCTCACACTTGTTTGCCCTAACTTGAAGTTTTAGTAAATTTTTCTTGTTATTTGTTTGTTTGTTTTTCTTACAGTTGGGTGTTCTACTGATTTCAGGGAAATTGACTTAATTTACTATTAAAATTCACCATTTCCCACCTGGAAAGGGAATTAACTGGAGCTGAAACTGGTTATATTCCCAGTTATTTACCACCTATTAATTCTATCACATTTTTGAAACAGAGTTTTCACAGTTCAAGGCTCTCTAGCTGTGATCTGATTTTTTTTATTACCACTCAAATTGTAAGGGCAAAATTCTTTGTCTTCACAACTCCAATATATTTCTATGAATATTGAAACCTTTAAAACTGATCAGAAGGTCCTAGGTAATATAACAAGTGGCTTGTATTACCCTTGCGAACTGAATTCCCAGTTTTCTGGGAATTTGAAGGAATTCTCAAGAATTCCCAACTGCGCAAATATAGGAAAATTTTTGTTTCTTTTCTTTGTTTTTCTTGTTTTGCTTCTTGACTGATCTAATAGTTTTGTTGTGTTGCTTTAATATAATAATGCACTTACATTCTTAACAGGTGTCATGCTTTTTGGGAATACATCCTTCAACATCCTTGGGAAGATTATAGCAACGCAACCAAGAAAAATTTTGCCCACAATGTCTTACTTATTATTGATAAGTTATGCTCCAGTACTCAGAGAGGAATGCTACCAACTGTTCAAGGAATTGTTCAAGAATTTTCAAAGAGTGCCTTCTTCAAATTGGTCCTTCCTGAAATAGTTGAGAATTTAGCCAAAGAAAATTGTATCAGGTAATATTGGTGGCATTGAAAAAAGTGAACATGCAAAGATTTAAAAAATTTTTTCACCTACTAGTAGATTACAAAATCAATGTGTATGAATTATGACACAGGCTAGCTAAGGGTATAAAAAATACAAAGAACAAACTGAAGCTTAATTCATGGTTTTCCTCTTCAATTAAATACAAATGCTAGTAGATTGTGGTGTGCATGATTATATATTAGTCTGAATTTCATACCCTGGCATTACTTGCCCATGTTTTTTTTACCCTTAATGTTTGGGTTTTAATACCAAATCTCTACTCTGTGATCTGTTTCATTCAACACTTTGCTTTCAATTCTGACCTAAACATTTTAAAATGAATTGCCAGACAGCAAAAGGCAAAGTAAGGGATGCCTTTGCAGAAAATGGTTTGTGAGAAGTCTTGGATGATTGCATATAAGCTCAAAAACCTGCTTCCTTGATCAATCAATCTTGTTTATTAGGATCCTAGCCAAGGTATCCCTGTATGTGTACTCAATTGAGCCAAACATATTTTAGGCAGCATATGATGACAATTAATTTATTACCAACCAGCTGAAAGTGTAAGGGAGGTGTTATTTTGTTCTTGTCATCTGTTAAGTTTTCAAATTGTCAAAACAGAAAGACATAGTGATTTTGCTATTTGAATCATCAGTGGATCCTTCAAAGTGGTGCAGAATGTTCTAGAACATGTCCTAAATGTTTCACCTTCCTCTGGTCGAAGAGTTCTACCCATGGCAAAAGTTCTTGCTGAAAGCTTAGTGAACAGCTCTTGTGGGAAATCTGCTGTAGACTTCCTGGAAAAGTTGTCACTGATGGTTGCCATTGCAGTGCCAGGGGTCCATGCAGATCTTGAGGCTTTTTCATGGAGAGATCTTCCCTTGCTGCTACTGAGTGAAGAAATCCATAAAGATTCAACAAGTCAGTGCATATCAATTAATGATTTAAATAAACATATATTTTTGGTTAAACTAAACCTGCTAACCGTTTTGCTAGGCTTGAGCAGCCGCTACTCAAACTTAAGTAATTGTGTAGTGCAAGCAAATGTGAGTCAAACAGATGCTACTTTCTGTGGTTTACTAGCTAGGTAATTTTTTTCTCATTTTATTACTGATGGACAAGTTATACAAACAAGAAATCCAGATTTGTTAACCAGCAATGAAAATTGTGTTAATATCCTTTAGTATATTGCCATTAGACTTCTGATGGTAGGTGCATTTAATTATCAATTATAAAATGAGCTTAAGTTTTCATGATTCATCTATTGATTGAAGAAACTAGAACAACTGACTTACCAGTGATCAAGAAAGAAGGCAAGTACCACTCAGAAAAAGAATACTTGAACACTTACTTCAGACTTCTAAGAGAGGAGTGTTTTCACAAGTTGAAGAATGGAGTTTCACACTTTTTAAGCAAAGGAAAGTGTGATTCAAAAGAAGCGATGATGTATAGGTGGGAACAAGTTTTTTGATTTACTTTCAATTTATGGCTAGCATGTGTTAGGTACATGAAGAATAGTTTGGCCTCATTCTACATAATCCTATGGGTAGCTACTTCATTACTTGTGATTTAACATGAAGATTTAGAAATCAGTGGACTGTGTTTTTGCCCAAAGATTAGAAGTTTGAATTGACCATCAGTTCCACTGCTTCTACTTCATCCTCATCCTCCTCTTCATCCTCATCCTCATCTTCCTTCTCCTCATTATTCTCGTCCTCATCCTCCTTCTCCTCCTCATCCTCCTTTTCTTCCACCTCATCCTCACCCTCCACCTCATATGCTATGCCTCATCCTCATTCTTTTCCTTATCCTCCTCCTCCTCATACTCCTCTTCCTCTTCATTCTCATCCTCATCCTTAGCCTGGCATCCCCCCTCCATCCTCCTCCTCCTCTACCTCATCTTACTCCTCATCCTTATCTTCCTCCTCTTCCTTATCCTCATCTTCATCCTCATCCTTGCCCTCACCCACACCCTCCTCTTCCTCATATGCTCTGCCTCACCCTCATCCTCCTCCTCATATCTTCATCTTCCATCTCCAACACAATTATGTTGTAGATTTGATGTAACATTAAGTCTCTTAGATATTGCAGATGTTATATATTGCTAGTAAAGTGTTGATAGTGATTGCAATTACATCTAGGATTACTCTGAAAGGACTACACACTCATAAACGAGAAAACTCTCTAACCACTATGTCGATTGGATTGCAATTTACTGTTAACTCAGAGGAAAGGATTGACTGGGGGTGAGCGCTTTGTTAAGTTTGAGGTCTTTGGATGTATAATGTCATCAACAGCTAGAAGGCAAGGAGACCGAGGAAGCCACCGGGCTTATGGGAGAGCCACCTCACCTTACAATAATGAATCAAGTAAAAAAAAAAATGCTGCGAGTGTGTGGCTTGGCCAATTCAGTGATTATTTAAGTAAAAACTCTTGCATTTTTGTCTTAAAGTTAAGGTTTGGCAAAATGAGTGACTGATGTCAGTCCTATAGGAGATGATGATATAATGCTTACGATACTAGACCAGACAAGAAAGTCAACTAATGATTATAGTTAATAAACAAATATTAGGTTAGGTATTGATCTTTGATTGTTGTCAAACACATTGATTCAAACTTTATCACTACAACATGGCTGGCTGAAATATTTTAATTTGAATGTATGTAGAAAATGTGTATGTTTACATCTGCGGTATGTTATCTGGACAGATCTGCAAGTTGGCTTGTGTATGGAAATCTACTGTGCATTTCTTGTGATGGCTCATTTGAACAGCCTGTTTGGGCTGTAGTGGAAAAGGTAGACCATGAACAAAGGTTGGTTACTTTTTTTAATCTACTTCCAGCACAGACAGCCCAAGAATGAAATTCCTTTACTCACCTGTTGTGTCATTTCAGTGATTTGTGACTCTTGCGTGTAATTCATAGAGGTAGTAACTAAAAGTAGTCACTCCACTTAAATATAAATGGCATGTTAGGAAGCTGCTAGGTCGAAATTGCTTTGGTGAGATTAATCTAATTGAAACATTTTTCTCAGTAAATATGAATGAATTTAGGATTCTACTTCATAGGGTCATGGCCAATGGAGGGCTGTTTGACTGGAAAAAAGGTTTTTGTTGGAAAATTGGAGTTACTAAAATGTAAATTTTCTTAAAGCTTTGCTGGCAGTAAAGAAGAAAACAATCCCTGCATTTTTCTCTTGTGGCTACTGATTAACCCTAGCTCTCTAAATATGCTTCAACCATAGAGTGATATGGGTGGCACTTTGTGGTGATAAAACAAACAACATATCAGAGGCAGAATTTGTAATCAAACTACAAGGGATAACAGATGATGGTAGGTAAATTAAAGATAAGAGGGAATTGATGCTTTTGATTGAGGTTTTTAAAGAAGCTCATTTTTGTTGTTAACTGACAGCACTTAATTATTTGAAAGTTAAATGAGCTACTCAAGAATGTAGTCTTGTCAACTGACTTAAAGCTGTAAACAACTGATCTTTGAAAAATTCAATGTTGTTACTCAATTGACTGAACTAGTCAGTTGCACGAGACATGCTAACAATAAATTGTAGGGGAGGGGAGGGGAGGGGGTTTAGCTTGAAATAGGTAATTTATAGCAACCTTTTTGACTGATAGCCATTTTGTTATATTCAGATCTGTACTAATGTAAGGATTAATTTTACTTGAAAACTAAGAGATCAATAATACATACACTAATGACATTTTAAATAAAAATTTGTTGCAAGGTAGCATCAGGAGAGGTTAAATATGCCCTGTTTCACGTTCGACAGAACTACCCACTGAAGGGAAAATAGCATTTCTTTTTCTCATTATAAGCATGTGGGCTAATTTTTGCATGCCTGCAGTTATGAGTAATGTAGTGCCCAGTTCAGGATTAACCTGGCAGTATAGTGACAGAATCACCTAATTTTCGGTTGACATTGTTTATTTTAGTTGAACTCTGATAATTCTGGATACAGCACATGACGGCAGAGTTTTTCAACCTTTCTGCAGTCAAATTACTCACCATTCAGTCGCATGTTAAATGTTGTAGTAGCCCCAGACTGTTATTACATAAGTTATATCGACCTTGAGTGGTATGACTGCGTTATAATGCGGTGCTGATGAAATACCTGGACGTATATAACACGATTGTAACACTTTCCTTTTTCTTTTTTGGATAACCTTTAATAGGGAAAGAAGCTCACATGGCTGAAAGCCAGACATTTTACCTGTCTTTTGGTCCGGCTATGGATATTTTGCAACACAAAGGTTGATCATCGTAGATCTGTCTTATCACAGTTATCAATCACCACTGGCAAATTAGCTCAGTCTCAACACACAGGTTGATCATCGTAGATTCGTCTTATCACAACTATCAATCACCACTGGTCTATTAGCTCAGTCTTATGATATCCTTTAGTCATCCAATAATGTCCTATGTGATTGAGGATATTAGTGTTCATGCATCCTACGTAAAGTGTTAACTGGAAAATTTCTCATAACCATTATTATATTAGTTAATGTTCTTTATCGACTGCAAAACGTTGACCTGAAAATAATCTGAACTGTTTTTGACAATAATTGCCCCGTTCTGAGATACATACATACATACATACATACATACATACATACATACATGCATATATGTTTGAAAAAAACTTTTAGTTTGCAAACTGTAAGGCAGTAATTTTCAAGTTGTCCATTTCCTACATGCTGGTGACTCTTTTTAAGTGCGAATTTTGTAGAATTCTTTTAAAAAAAAGTTGTTAGATTCTTAAAAGATGCAAGACAGTGATGTATTTGCTTTTGTCAACAGCTACGTGTATGATTAATTTTTGACTGATATTTTCTAGATTCTGTTCCGTTCAAGGATTTCTTAGTACATCCAGAGGCCAATCACATGTGTCAAGCTGAGTACGTTCGTAAAATAGAAGCTCCTCCTGACTGGGGAATCATATTTGAGTCTCCACCAAAGTCACATGACCAAGATGAGTCTTCAGTGTACTCTCTTGTGGAAGACTTTGAAAGAATAAAATTATCAAATATCAAGGCAAAACTAGATGACACACAACTCGATGCAATTGACCTTGCACTTAAGAACAAAGTGGCCTTAATTCAGGTATGATTGCGTAGTACTTGTTGATATTTTTGGGTTGTCTATAAAATCTTAAGGGTTTTGGAGGATTACGGATTACTTATGAGAGAAAATGTTTCAATAACGACCAAGAAAGAAAAGCTGTCAGCCTACGTTTTGCAGATCCCATGCTTATATTTCTAAGAAAATCTGAGAGGTGTGGAAAACATTCGAAAACTCAACATAGGTCAGTTATGCCCTCAGCCCCGTGATCAGGTCGTGCCTACAAAGACGTTTAATGGTATTACTACTGACAACCACGATCAAATTTCCAACATTTGACTGCATTGTGCATAATGCTTTGAGCAGTTTGATTGAGAGCTCATAGTGATTTCCTACCAGCACTAATTTTGTAATTTTTTAATTAAAATGGCCTACATGTGATACATATATAGTTTATTGGCTTGTCCTCACGGGGCTGTTCAGAGTCAATATGAATCCTAAAATTTTTATCTTTCATGCAGGGACCTCCAGGAACTGGGAAATCTTTTGTTGGTGTGTCTCTTGTTCATTTGTTATTGTCAATGGATGTACCGAAGACATTTGGACCCATTTTTGTAAGTATTTAATGTATATTGAGAATGCATTACTCCATAATCTCTTTGTTCAGCCCCCTCTTGATTTTTAACCGTTCCCCACTTATGAATGGACTAAAGTTATCATATGCCCCTCTCTCTGTCGAGTCCGCCCTTATGGTTGACAATATTTGATCTGATGCGCCATATACAATGCACTAAACGTGAAAACAAGGCGTTTTGCATGAGTTTGTAGTTTGTTACCAAACGAAAGGTGATTGATATGTACTACGACCATTTGGTATTTGTCAACAAACCAATAACAGGGGCACGTAAAGGAAATGGTGGAAATTTCACATAATGCCAAATCTTTAGCAAAAATTCAAAAAGGCGTGACTCAGAAACATTTATTTCCGGAAATTGTCTTCAGTTGTGTAGAGGCTTTAATGTTGCAGATAACATTAATTGTTATGAAAATGCTCACAACTTGAGGTAAGAGCTAAAAATAGTGTGACATGCACATCGCATGAAATGTTCAAAAAAGGTTTGTTAGCCTGTGCTGACGCCGCCGCAAAAACGATCAGCGAGGGTTCGAGTTGAAAGACCACCTGTTCCAAACTTGTCATGTTTGCCACTTGATTGATTTGTAAAGGTTATAAGCGTACTGATTTTTTTTTTCCTTTCTTACCCTGTTATTCTTACTTGACTATTCAAAGGTTGTCACTTACAAGAATGACGCTGTAGACCATTTCTTGGAAGGGTGTCTAGATTTATCGTCTAAGCCCAGAATTGTCCGTGTTGGAAAGTCATCAAGATCAGAAAAGTTGGAGGACTGTCTCTTGTTTAACGTAAGATTTGTTGGATCTACCTGGGCTTGGCTGTTTGAAACCTGATTGACACTAATCCTGGGTTACATATACATAAAAATAATTCATTTTCATGATGTTTAAATCAAGATTAGTGCTAAATGTCCTTTCAACAACTCGGTCAAGGGTCCGTAGTAGTGCTGCTGCACGTTACTGCTGATAAAATTTTGTTGGCATTTGTTGGAACCATCACCGATCAGATGACACTATAGATTAAAAATGAACTTTTGAAACATTTTGCTTAACATAGCCTTTTCTTTCAATTACTGGATTTTGTCTATTTTACTTGCCTTACTTTAGAATTTTCACGATATTTTTCTAGTAAGCAGTTTACGTGAAGTTGAAATTTAATGCAAGCTCATTGCCACCAGCTAGCAAGCAGTCCCTCTTTAAAAGCGTTGCGGCACGAGCGTTTTTTCGCCCATGTGGAGGTATGGGTCCTCAAGCGAGACCTCTCGCGAGCCGGCGAGAGGTCCGCAAAAGCTTTGGCACTACTACTCGTTATTTGTACCAGACCCCTTATAGACCTCTCGCCGGCTCTCTTTGCTCAGGGTCTGAAACCTACTCGCGGGCAAAGGAGCGGTCATCCAGTAATAAGCTTGCGCATTTTTGCATAGGTGTGTAATGAACTTTTAATGATATTTGATTTGACAATTTTCCTTCTAAATAACGCTTGTGTGATCTCTATTCATATAGGTAAAGTCAAAGTCTGTGTGGCCTGAAGTTCTCAAAACGCAAAAAGAAAAACTCAGAAGTCAACTGCGAAATATGCAACGTCACGTGAAAGAGGCATACTCGAAGCTTCAGGGTTCCTGTGTTTTTAATGCTGATATGTTCATCCAGGTGTGGATCTATGTTTTAAAGTACCCCTCAAGGTGTTAATTTGCGATTCAATTATTCCAAGTGACAAAGGGTTATTATAAACCTTATGCATGTTCATGTGAAACTCGATGGAAGACGGTTGGTTGATGGTACATTTGCCCGTCACCTTATTACTCCATCAGGAAGGCAATGGGGCTTTGATTTCATACCAGTGACGTACAATTCTCCCCAACTTTAAGTTCTGATTATGTGAAGGGTGGGTAATGTTACTATGTGATTAGATAATTATTTGACGGATAGTATAGTTTGTTTTCGAACACTTATGCACTCTAGAAATTAGTTTTCCCGTTGGATAGCGTTATCCTACCCTCAAGCTTAGACTGTGCTGTGTGGCTCTATGGAATAGCTGCAAAAAAAGTGCCTACGTTCACCCTAAAAATTTTTCTTTAAAGACAGCAACTGAAAAACAGGTCAGGGAGCTCCTGATAGAATTAATTGACCAAGCGGAGGTGGATAAGCTACTCAAAGAGAGTAACATGGATGGGTCATATAAATCTCACTTGAAAGGTGCAGGAATATTTCATTTGTTAAACCTTTCTTTCTTTTCCCGACTTAGATTCCGAGATGCTGTATGTTTTTCCTCAAAGAATATTTTAATATGAGAAAAACTTGAACTTTTTGTAGGGAAAATATCCAGCGATTTATGAAAGATCGATGTCTGCCAAAGGACTGAAATATTTTCAATAATGATTTAAGTATATAGTGCGAAACGCAGTTGAAGTGTTGTTCTTTAAATTTGAATTTTTTACTTGGTTAGCACTAAAATAGTTCAAAATGAGTCGAGACGAGTATTTAATGTTTTGTTCCAACATGTTCCTTTGGTGACATTATTACCTTGCTTATCTGACTAACTCCCTTGCTTTGAAGAAAATCTCTCTTTGTGTTGGACGTTACAGGCTGTGTAAGAAACGCACTAGGGAAGTGGCTTCCTGGACAAGTAGAATTTGATCGGTTTGCCATGGAGAACGGATTTCCAGGAACGAGTAGCAAGCCGTCACATTCAGTTACTGACGCAAAGTCAGAGCGCACAAGGTACTTTTGATGCTTTCATATATTATTATTAGACAGAAAAAGGGGAAACAGGGCAAATTTGTGGCGATACAAGTTGAGTGAAAATCGATGAACGCCCGTTGGCTTACCTGAAACGAAACAAAACTTTTCTACGTTTTGCAATGATTGCAGCTTTGCTCTTTGGTACTGCAAACACGGAGTAAGGTCGTAACTGCACAAGCGCAGCGTGGCGCATTTCTCTCTGAAGGCATTTACCGGAAGAAACCGGGTGTCATTCTAATTAACTGAGAAAAGAATTTACATCAGCGAGATTCTCGCGAATTTTCGCACCTCGTAAACGGTTGGGGCTTGCGATAGATTTTCAGGGTGACTTGAGAGTCCGAAATGGCCATCAGAATTTTGAGGCAAGACGCCGACAGGTGATTCACCTGGCTTTTTATCAATAGTCCATTTTACAGTTGCGTGCTTGGTTGCCAAGCCTTTTACAACAAGGTCACCTTCAGCCTCACTTCAAATCAGAGGCTTGGCAACTAAGCACACAACTGTAAAATAGCCTATTGTCTAAGCTCGCGCTCGAGAAGTCAATTTCGTCTTAATTCAAGGAATTCCGTACAATAAAATACAGGCATTATAATCAGTCTAATCATCTTAGCGGCCTCCATGTTTTTAGCAGTGTCATATGACAACCGTACCGTGAACACATTATACAAACGTTTGCTTGCCTGACGATCTCTTCGGCACGCACTCGACAAGTCTTCGAAATTGTTTAGGAATAAGCTTGGGAAGAAAGTTCAATTTTAAAATTTGAATATTTAGTGAGTGAAGAAACATCACGTCACGTGTTTCTATTTCGCTGTGAAACAAAAATCTTAAAAGTTGAACTGTTTACCAACGGAACATTTCCATCTGGCGCATGAAAAACAATGTGCTCATACTTTACCCCAGATCTCTGTATCAAATCTTCTATTGTATAAGGTGTCTTACAATGTAAATATACCACCTTAGTTACCACATTCGCCTCTTAAATGTCCACAGTTAATCGTAAAGTAGGCTATGCTGGATCGTGGATCAAATCTGACCATATAAACGTTTTGAAATTTTAACCTAAGACGCCTTACATACTTTATTTTGAGTGATTGTACACTTAATTCGTAGTAGAAAGAGTGGTTTATTGACGTTTCTCCCCACTGCAAGTTCGCCCCCTGCCAGTTCACCCCATCAAATATAGCATGTTCGCCCTACGTTCACTATTTTGCCCAAAGATCTTCAACTCGTCTCCTTACGGCAAAACATATGGCCATTGTGATTTCTGTGGCATTATACTAGCTGTTGGTAACTGTTGCTTGTTTTGTCAGTGACAAGTTAATAGCTGCAAAACCTGGTTGTTGAAATAAGTCCTAGGCTAGATCTGAGATCTTATTTGTTTAGTGAAAATATTGATCTCCACTCTGCTACATGCAGAACTAAAAAGCGAAAACTGGATCAAGAACAGGAAAACCCCGATGACTTCCGAGAGCCTTCTGTAGAGGAAGATGAGCGGATTTCCTCAGCCTTAGAGTACGAGTTTCCTGACGATACGCAAGATATTTCTGACACCAGCACACATGACACATTTGGAGAACGAAAACTTATTCCCATGGATGAGAGAAGTGAGTTTTTTTGGTTTTAAGTTCTACTTTTTAAATTTGATAAATACAAATACCAGTTTAAAAAAATTGCAATTTGCAAAAAAAAGTATGAAGTATATACAGCTTCTGTTTTCTCATCAGTGTCTCTTTTTGATGACGAAGCTAAGTGCGAAGCCTTCGACATGAAAATAATCTTTCACTATCATGCCAGCAAAACTCGTTTTCTTTAGAAAGTTGGGCATTTAGCTTCGTTTTGAACGTGAGGGTTCTCTGGAACTCGGAAATTTCCTATTAGATATTTACTGGCGTCTTATAGATGTAACCTAACCTTTATAGCATCCTCAAAACATTAACCTTTGTCTAACATCTGGTGCAATCATTTCCATACATGGAGAGACTTTAGTATATGATTTGGTGAGCAAGATTGATTTAACCAATGAGAACGTTTGAAATACAATATCCCAGGCTGAGAATTAAATAGTTGGTAATTGAGAAACCACTATAATGGTCATAAACCAGATCAGAACATCCCATTTTCTACCGAGATACGGATTTTGTACATGGCGTGGATGTAAAATGGCATTTTTTCCATACTAGAATGTTATGTTTAAAACCATTGTTATTATCGTAAATGTGATCTTTTGCCAGAAGTTGACCACTTCATAAGATGCTCAGATGAAACAAATATCTGGGTTCTCAATCAGCATGCAAGGATTCAGCTAGTGTATGCTCTTCAAAGCTTGTATGCTGAGAAGGCCCGTATGGAGTTTCTTGATGTGAGCAGGGAGGCCCAGGAGGTAAAACACAAGCTTCGATTGTGACAGTAATAACGTCAACTAGAAAAACGTTGTTGAATATCTTTTACTTAATGTTTTGTTCTTCCCTTAGCCACAAAAGATGTAGTTTCAAAAACATCTTTTCACAGTGATCATGATAGTCTCCCTTAAACGAAAAAAAAATGCGCAGATTTGAAATATCCTCTTCTATTTAGTTGGTCATCTATCAGTATATAAACAAAATGCGTTGTAAGTAGTACATTATGTTGTAAAAAGAGCCAAATTGATGAAAAAACGGTGTGTAACCCCATCTTTTCACGTGAAATTGGTCCGGCTATCAGCGAATTCGTTCTCATAACAACAAGTTCTTCTTTGTACCCTGAACACCGAATATGTATTTTGCACAATGACCCATTTGTCTCGAATATTTATTTTCGTTTCAGGGTCCCCTTTAGTGAAGAGCGAACTCATTATTTTGAAATTTTCTTACCGCTCATGTTGCTAGGTTTTTTATGATTTCATTTATGCACTTATACTTGGTGAGGTAGGGAGTGTCTTTCAAGGACAATTGACTTGGCTGTGCGCCTTTCCTTTTTCTCTAAATTTTACTGTTGAACTTATCCACAGAAACATCACCAGTATACAGCGTTGAGAAATAAACATGAGATCGATGTGATGAGGCAATGTGAAATTATTGGTATGACGGTGACTGGTGCAGCCATGAGAGCCAATCTGCTGGGTAAACTAACAACACGTTGTATTTGTTGTTGCTGTTGTTGTTGATGTTATTGATGTGAATATGTTGGTGGTAGTGTTGGTGCAAGTTCATTTCATCTCCTAATCAACTTCAGACTGTATGTTTAGTTTTCCAATTTTAGGATACTTCACATATAGCATAGACTTTGTGATAGTGTAGTGTGATCGTCCGGGTTAGTGTAATCTTAAGAAGGACTTTTGTCGGTAGTGGTGACTGACGTTTCGACAACCTGAGTAGAAGTCATCATTAGAATCAAGAGAATCATTAGTTGTTGTCAGTCAATTGATCTAAGTCCGGTTCGTATAAACTGATTAATTCAGTTTTGCCGTGATGTTATCCGCCGTAAGACTCAAGTGGCGTAGGTCGGTTGCGATCGGTCGGTTTCGATCGGTCGGTTTCGATCTTTCAGTAAAGTCAGGTCGTTCTGTTCGGTTCGTCTGTAATGTTAATATCATGCATGAGTCGTTTGTATGGTGCCGGTAGAGGTTGACACCTTTTGAGGGAAATTTGTTCTATGTTTGCAAACCAGCTTTCCAGAGTCAGTCGTTGGAAGTAGTTGGTGCTGTCAATTAGGCATTGCGCAGAGTCCCAGTCAATAGTGTGTTTCGTAAGTCGATGATGTTCAGCAATGTGATTGTTGAAATCACCTTTCCTCGTCGCTAGCTTGTGTTTAGTCAGTCTTGTTGTGAGTTTTTGTCAGTCTCGCCGATGTAGGAGGCGTGGCAGTCGGAGCGATTGATTTTATAAACCGCTCCCTGTCTGGTCCTCGGTTCGTCCTTGTCCTTGACGTTTGTCAGTAACTGACGTAGTAAAGTGACGGGTTTGTGGACGACGTGGATATTGAAGGGTTGTAGGATGCGCCAGATGTTCTCAGACATGCAATATCAGACATGTCATCACGATGTAGTCCTTGGAAACATACTAAAATTGTTTAAGTTTGTCAACTAGCTCTTTTAAATTACCCACTGTCCAAACATTGATTTTTTTTAAAAACTGGCGGGGAATTCGGTAACTTCGCGAATGTTATTTCAGTCACATATCATGCTATCACTTCGACTGATTCGTGAGAATTTTTTTGAGATGTGAAACCGAGAGCACCGACATAGTGTGAAGTTGGGCTCATTTTGCACTGACTTTTTATTATCGGGATTAAAATTATGGTTAAAATGGAGTTTCCGTTCGCTACGTATGGTTCTGAATGATCGTAATGCCTTTCCACTCACAGTTCATTTGCTGTTGTTTAATATACTTTCAGAGGAAATAAAGCCATCAGTTATGATAGTAGAAGAAGCTGCCGAAATCTTAGAAGGACAACTTGTGGCAGCTATCCCGCCATCCGTTCAACACCTTATCATGATTGGTGATCATCAGCAGCTGAAACCTGTGGTACAAAACCCCAGACTCCGAAAGACTAATAACCTTGATGTCTCCATGTTCGAGAGACTTGTGAACTGCAAGATTCCTTTCAAGCAGCTTGAGTATCAATGCCGAATGAGAGACGACATTGTTGATTTGCTCCGAACGCTAAAAATCTATAAGGAGCTTAAAACAAAGACGGAGGTAAATGCTAGAAAGTATGGACCTAAGTGGACAATGGCTTTCGCACAAAGTTTATCTAAGGGAAGGTTTATTGGAGGACACCCTTTGCCAGTTTGCCCTGCTGAGGTGGAGGATCGGCGCTCTAAGGGGTTAAAAACTGCTAGGGTCGCAATGTGCTATGTAAACGTCTCAAGGAGGGTAACCCGCCTAACCAGGGTCGCGTTCATGTTACAAGCGCGTCAAAAACCTCACCCCGGAAAAAATTGTTCGTAAACGCAAGCTATTTTTCGAGCACGGCTAGGCAGGTTACCTCACCTACCTAGAGTACCCCACCTTCATGCAAACAAGCCCTTAAAGGGGAAGGGGTTAAAAACATAAATTCTTTGTGTTACTTACGTTAACGATTCCCTCTGTTTACTAACCTTACTGCCAAACCCATTCCCTCCATGCTAGATTTAAATCACTCCTTTAGCTACAAGGAGTTGAAATTCGTTTTGCACGGAGTTACAGAGCTTGAAATGTATAGTTATTTGTTCTACCTCTATAGCTAATTCGCAACAATCATCTTCCTCATTGTGTGGAGAAGAGCATGTACTTCTGCCGCCACACAAGTGAGGAGAAACCATCAAAAGATTCCCACAGCAAACGAAACGTCCATGAGGCCAGAATGATCACGGAAGCTGCAAAAACGTTTTGTCAACAGGGAGTTCGTCCATCTAGAATTACAGTACTTTGCGCATATCGAGGACAGGCAAGTGAACTTTGGATGCTTTTAATCTCTACAACCGAAGTATGATTTCATCCTGAGAACATGCATAGTGATAAAATTAACATCCTTTGCAAAGTTCAGGTGGGTCACAGCAGTTTACAGCTCTGTTTTTTTAATTCACCATTATTGCTGCTCTGAGTCTGGTGATGGTGAAATACTCCTTTTTAAATGTCCAATCTTTGTAAATCATATTATGATTGTCCTTGTTACTTAACTCAAGTTGAGCCATCATAACAACATTATAACCTGTTAAATACATTCTTATTTTTATCTATGAAAGTTAGCAACCTAAAATGAACTTGGAAACCCAGTTACTATTTTTGAATGGTGTTCTTTTCATTAAGATAAAACTTTTATGTAAATTTAGGAGGCTCTAAATCCCAGTTGTTTAAAAATGTGCGAAAAGTTTCTTTTGTTTAATGATTTTGGAATTGTTAAATAAAGAAAATGGGGGGGGGGTCTACTTAGCTGGTTTTCGAAATGGCTAACACTACGAGCATATGTAATGTTCAGCAAAGTTTGTTTAATACCTTCTTTTCATCACCTCATGTAGGATGATAGCTATGATACATCGAAGACCAAGCATTGTACACAGTTGCAAGTGCTACCGTTTGACCCTCAGATACCTGATCGAATTGCAATGTATTTGTCAGTGTTTGCCTTTTTGGGGGGAAGACGAAGACTGCACCATCTACCATATCACCCTTTAGACACTGACTACAAGCAAATGGCGACAAGCTAGCACACATGGTGCAAGGCTGGTGGGGGCGATTCTGATTCCCACCTTTGAAGCATCGCTTTCCCCTATTGTTGCTGATGAGCCGTTCATCGCAACGGTACACAGAACTCACAGATTCTTTTTCGTTTTCATGTTTATTCTCCGTACAATAAGTCACTAAGAAGACTTCTGAATTAGAATAAATTCTAGAAAACTCTCTCCTGAAAACTCTCAATTTTTGTCGTGTCCGGTTGTCTGATTTTGCTCACACGTGTTTTTTACCTTATTTGGTAGTATTCGCAAGTGTCACAAACTAAGAGGGTGGGGTCCGTCAAAACTCTTGAATACTGTCAAGGAGAACAAATAATACATTGTCTTCAGGAGGTTACTTAGGGTACCAGTTGCTCTCTATGTATATCCAAACTGGACTGATAACTACAGGATACCACTGGCCATTTTTTTTTTATCTTGTTCTAATTGTTAAGGTGATATACTCCTTTTGCAGGTCACTGAAATAAAAGATTTCTTCCAATCCACAAATGTTGAGAAAATGGGTGAGATTGAGGTGACGACGATAGACGCTTTTCAGGTATGGAAAGTTCCTCTCATGTCTTTTATCAATGTGAAATAGAACAATGGTTAACTTCTTTAAAAACATTTATCATTTTCAGTTGAAAATCCTTTCCTTAGTGTGGTCCCGAGACATCTAAACTTTAAACTCCGTGGGTAATAAATTGATATGACTAAAATCTTATGGCATCATTGAAGAAAGTGTAACGAGTTAACTAGTGTAAGCAATTCGGCAAACAATTAAAGGATATAATGTGATTCGAATCCGTCACCCTCGCGATCCCGGAGAGATTCTGTACCAAATGCGGTGCTTTGAAGTGAAAGGAACGGAAAATTTTAAAAAAGAACTATCTACGACGTTTGAGAATGAGGTTCTTATCATACCTAATCATTTTCTTCTACAGGGGCAGGAAAATGACATCATTCTCGTTTCCCTGGTCCGCAGTAACAATGAGAACAAGATTGGTTTTTTGTCACAAAAGAATCGTATTTGTGTGGCAATTTCACGAGCACGTTGTGGCTTGTATCTCTTTGGTAATCAAGCTCAATTGGAGTATAGGTCACCAGTCTGGAGGGTGTGTTGAGTTATTCTTAATCTCGCAACAGATAGTTGGGTGGTCTGTGACTTACGGTCACTGTTGTGGACTTCTGATAAACCAATCAGGTTTTTAGTCCCATTACCAAGTTCTAGGGCAGGAAATCTCTTTATTACTGTTCATACTCCACCTAAGAATGTAATTACCAAGGCAGCATGATGTAATGCACTTTGTTTTTTGTTTTGTTTTTTGTTTATGTGGCGGTTTTGTTGAGGGTAGTTCGTGATAGATGAGCGTTCCACCAAGATGCTCAGAAAAACTTGGAATCAGCTATATTTGTTATCCTATGACAAATGTGTTTGAGTTTCTTGACCTTTAGCTGGTTAGAAATGGATGATATTCCTCCTAAAAAAACTTATTATTAGTGTTATGTTTTGGCTTTTGTTTGGTATGTAAACACAACTTCAGAACAAAGAGAATGGTTAAACGTTAAACTGAACAAGAAGGAAAAATGATGAGGTATTCCTTTCTTTGCCAGGCTATCGTCAAGTTCATGAAAGAGAAGGATTGTCTCGTTAAAGAAATTCCATTTGTAACTGTAAGTAACACGCGAAGTGTTAACTGTAATATAAGCACTTGTTATGCTGTCGTTCAATTTCTTCCGAATTTGAGTTATGAACGTAACACGAGATACAGTGTTTCCTACGTTTAGTGAGTAACCTCCGCCCCCCGAGTAAGCGCCTCACTCCAATGAGCACGACATTTGGGACTAAATAATCGCTGCGGCCGTGGCACTGCGCCTATTCGAGGAATTGATTCTCAAGCTCCAATGCTACATACACAGTTGGATATCCTGAGGCAACTAGATGCAAATCCCTTCGAGTGCAATCAATCCAAATTCTGAACTTCACCCTAAATTCGTAGCCTTGGTTTGTTTTACTTTCATGCCTGCCCTAAATATTTGGGTGATTTCAGTACGTAGTAAAAACTTTCAAACCAAACTCAAGAAATCCAAGGATATGATTGATACAGAGACACAACCTTTCAAATTTCTTTCGTTTCCACTTTTACATGTAGGCTTCTGGTAGCCGTTCTGAGGGTGAACCCGAGAACAGTTCTTCTTTAGATGGAAAAAGACATGGAGTTAGTAAGTACAGGATATTTATTGTCTTGTTTACGGTTATCTATGAAATTCATCGTAATGAGCGTGGAACAAAAATTAGAACTGTTCTTGTTCTTTGTTTGAAAAGCAACATCTTCGTATCCAGATTTGGAACGTAGTGTACTCTGATAATTCTTATGACGCATACGTGTGAACTTCAATATAAGTCTGGACTGTTTACAGAAAAAAGCGCCGAATACATGTGAAATCTGGTGGCAATACTGCATTCTAAAGCGTCTTTTTTATATTTTTGTGATCTTTAGCAAACATAACGTTGAATGCGCAGATCATCAATGCAATTTTTGGAGAAGAAGGGACGTTGCAGTTTACAACTGGTGAGGTTTTTTGAAGGTGTTTTTGTATTTACCTATCCTTTTTTACTGCAATATTTTGCTGTAGGAGGAAATTCTTGCCCTACAGCTGAAAGTTATTGTTTCTTGTGATTTTTTCTATTTTCATTTTTGTTATTTTACTTTTGAGACCTTCTTCAAGATCGTGGCTAGTTACCTTTCATTATTTAAGTTAATCAACAGTCTAACAGTCGAAGTGAGCGGCATCTTAATTACTATTGCGGGTGAAGAAAAAACGTCTCCTAAGTATCCTACGAAGCAGCAACCCTGTGACTACGCCGTGATAAGGTGGTCAACCCTCTGAGTTATGAATAAAGTCGGTTCGTTTAAACCGTAAGAAACTGGCAGTGTTGACTCTCTTGTGTGCCAGAAGGATATTGATGTACTGCGGCTATAAACCAACTTAATTCTAGGTTCGCGTGCGATATTTGAGTATCTCGGATTGCACAATTTTAGAGCAATAAGAATAAGTCACCTTACTATACTGTACGATTAATAGGAAGGTATGAACTTCAGTTTTATAGCTGTAAACTAAGAAACGGCAAGAGTCATCGCAATTTTTATTCTCCTAGACAAGTCTACGTCGGGAGAGATGATAACTCATCATTTTCCAATACCTGCATCTGGTGAGATAAACGTTCAGAGTCTGTCGTCCGCTGGGACGCCCTTACAAGAAACAGAGGAATCGAAGGTCGAGACTGAAGAGCAGAGCAAAGATGGAGGCAAATTCCCTTTTCAGGAGGAAGGTTCTGAGGAATTTAAAAAGGAAAAGCCAGTGCAAGAGACGCAAGTATCAAGAGAAGCGCAAAAAGTGAAGGACGAGGACAAAAGAAAAGCGGGCGAAGACGACAGATTCCAACAAGAATTTGGTAAAGGAGAGCCACTTCAGGCCGAAAACGACCGTTCCACCGAAGCAAGTGAAAGTTACAAAGAAGAGGCGTCACCCATACAGGAGACGATGGATACGGGTAAAGGGCCTTTTGAAGAGACTGGGGTTGAAGTTGGCGTGAAGATACAGCATTCGGACGGGAAGGAATAGTAACTACTACCTGATCTTAAACGCTCACTGGCAAAAAAAAATTAATAGGAATATTTACAGAATATAGCGTGTTCATGGGAAGATATGCGTTTAACTTTGTAACTCACCGTTAATCCTGTGTAAACAACTAAGGCCTCCAGCTGCCTTCGGTGATGATAAGTTTTAACTTTTGACAATTTTTATCTATGCGCAACATTTTGTGCTTAAGGTTTTTAAGGGATGCGTTACCGATTTGTAGATTTTGCTATAATCATGTTATAATTAATCACACCTAGTAACGGAGAGTAAAGTCTGTAACCCTGCCAGAGCTTATCCTGGTTTCCCTAGCGTGAGGCGAGTAGGAGTATTACCCCTCCCCCCTAGATTGGGGTGCTGGTTCTTCAGGGTGGAGAGAGGCACTGTGATAGTAAAGTATTTTGATCAAGTACCGAACAAAACGACCCGGTTATCTCTCGAACCCAGACTCCAGCGCACCAATTATCAGGCCACAACGTGTTCCACTAAGTACCTTGTAGGTGGTTAATTTTAGCGCTTGCTTATCATTACTCTCAGGTACTAGGTACGTTATCACCGGCTTATTTCACCGGTCTTGTGAGCCTTAAAGTGCTTTCCATTCTCAGCCAAGTTTCACGAGAGAATTTTTAGTTATTAAGGTTACTGTGCTAATGCAAATGAGACAACATGGAGACTGCGGAACTTTTGCTAAGCTCAGCAAAGGGTAAATGCAGCCGATTGTTATTTGAACAGTTGTTGATTGACATTATCTGTAGTTAGTGTTAAACTGTAGCCGTTACCTGTCCTAGTCTTTCCTTTAGTTGCTGTCTTCTTGTCGTGTTTTGAGAGTGATTAATCTTGTGAAAGGCAAAGTTTCTTTCTAGCCAATCGTTGTTATTGAAATGTATAGGGTGGTTCAAAGCGTGACCTAATCCTTTAGATAATTCATGGCATTACCTAATCCTTTGTAGTTTGGGTTTGGATAGAACTGTGTTGTAAAACTTTCTTTAGTTTCAACAAGCGTTGTGCTTGGTCACAACAAGTGTAACACTTGGTAACGGCGAGATCAGTGTTCCGGTGGGGATTTGGTGTTCCTGGACATACTAGGACCGCAAATTAAAGCGCGTTGAAGTCACGTTTATTGTGAAAGTCTCAGTTTTGTCCCAAGGATAGTCAACAGGCGTGATAAGTCCCAACCTTCGCGCTGCCAGCGAGTGTTTCCCCCAAGGAATTATTTGAGTTTTTTCCCTCCCGTCCTGTTATTTGTGAATGCAAGACATCTGTTTTGAACGCAAAAAACCTGTTTTCACACAGGAGAGAGAGTGAGAGAGGGCAAAAAACTTTCAACTCCTCTGAAGTAAACGCACACATTGGATCCTTGTCCTTAAGCTGCATTAGTTTTACGCACACTGTAGTCTCCTTCTCAGCCATTGTACGTACCGTCACGCAACGCCCTCTCTTCCTTGTTGGAGAGAGACCGCATTGCGATACCAAAATATGGGCATGCTACGCCTGCAAGAGTTATTTTTATTGCATGGGTAGGTTGAGGTGGGACAATTTGTGTAACTGATGTTTTCCATTTGTAAACAACAAGACCATAACTTTCAAAAGCACCAAAACATCGCATTACTTTACCTTAACTTAAGAAAAAAGATAACCAAAAAATGCTCAATTTTTTAATCGAGCTCCACAGGAACTCTCGAGTCGAAAAATGCAAGCCGTTCTTTCTATTTTTTTGGTCACCAAATCTGCACCATGGTCCCTGGCGTTCCTAGCGGAGATGCTAGAAACTGGGGATGAGAATCGCGAGCCTACCCTAATATGTGTGCCTCTGTCCCTGATATCACACTATTTTCTTCTGCTCAAATATCTTTGGGGTGGTACAAAGGCCGAAATTTTTGCCCGATTACATGGAGTTATTTGCATAATTTACAATGACATCTGTCGCCCCACGCTAAAATGATATGGCTGGTTTTTCCCTCTTTTAGCTCAATCCTTGATGAAATCTCTTATTTTATCTTGAATAAGTTTATATGATAGGTGTGGTAGCCTGCCTTGGTTGGTGGCTCGGTCTGTCGGGAAGGGTAACCCTGTCAGCCAGGGTCGCAATGTGTCATGTAAACGTCTCAAGGAGGGTAACCCGCCTAGCCAGGGTCGCGTTCACGTTACATTTACAAGCGCACCAACAAACTCATCCCGGTATCCCGGGGTTGTAAAAATTGTTAATAAACGCAAGCTATTTTTCAAGCACGGCTAGGCAGGTTACCTCACTTACCTGGAGTACCCCACTTTTATGCTAACAAGCCCTTAAAGGGGAGACGGCATGAGGCGCCAGACAGCTGGTAACTGCGTGACTTTGATCTTTACTCCCGGTTTGGAATGAGAGAAGTTCTTGCCACGCATTTGTAGCCTGAAGGAGAAAGAAAGCCGGGAAATGTTGGTGTACTTCTCCCTAATTGGAATGTTAGGTACCATAATGATTCGATTTAGCGCCCTCCTCCCAATGAGCACCCCCTTTCTAATGAGCGCCCCCTCGAGTCTGTTTTGCCAATAAGCGTCCGTATTGAGTAAGCACCCTTATTCCAATAAGCGCCCCTATTCTGTTTCAGTAATAGCACTGCTAGAGTGCTTGTACACTTAGATCAACCGTGGTCCATCTTCCTTTAATAGCTCACATAGAGCCTCACGACAAAAAAGTGGTCCTCATCTCAGTCTCTCAACTGATATGTCGCTGTGAGTGCTCAGTTTCTTAAAACGAAAGATCCTTCTCAGCTAGTCGTTCTAGCAAAGAAGGGTCCACGGATAATAAGAGAGTTCACCAGTCTTTTTGATCCCCAGTCCAATCAACATCAAAGCTTTGTTTCACATTCTGCCGATTCTCAAAAAAGAGATAAGCACCTTGTGACTGCCAACGAAGTCAGGTTTCAACACGCGAACGCTTTAAGATTTATTTACATTACGATTGATCGTGGTTGCTAAAAGGAACAAATAATTACAAGTTATTACGAAGTAGAAGGAATAGGAAAACGCAAAACAACAGAGGAAATACAATCGGACGAGGAAAGACACTTACAAATGTTGTGTGACTTGCGAGCATGAAGGACGGAAAAACTTAAAGATGATCGCAGTGAAGGAGTCGATGTTAACCTAAAGCACTCTAACACTTCAAGGTTCAATTTTTTTTTCTGAGAAACTTTTATGAATAAAATTAAACAAGTAGAACTATGCGAAAAATTTAACAGAATACAAATCGCCGCGAGTGAAAAGAATGCGAAAACAATAAGAAAAATGTTCGTGCAAAAACACAAAAATGTAATTAGGAATGGAAAAAGAACGAAATCACTAATTGGGGGTTACAACCGGCGTTCTTCTTGGTCCAGGTGAGGACAACGAGATGTGTACCAGAGGACCAACAATTATGAAAGGTTGTATTTGATTATGAGTGAACCATAATAAGCTCCTGAAAGCTACGTATTCAAACCCAGGTAACCTATGACTTCCGATGCCACACCTATTTTCTGTAGCGTGAACCATCAAGAAGTGGCGAATGAGGGAGTGGAGAAGGAACCAAAAAGTCTTTTAAATTCTCTTCATTTTTTCGCGTGAATTTTTAGATGAGGAACGCCTGAGTATGAGTAGAATTTTGGTTCACAGAAATCGCGGAGAGCCGCTTGTTTTTAGCTAATACAAAATAGAAAATTTAGAGTTTAAATACAATTTTATTGATCACTTGATCGTCAAACTAAAATAGTTCTCGGTAAAATTGAACGATGAACAGTGAAGTTGTCCAATAACTATCTTTGTCTCCTTCATACCGGCATGTATATGAGTAATATTCTCTCTCCATATCAAAACAAACTTATTTGAACAGGGAATGCAACAGAAATCGCAACGAAAACGTGCCGAAACAGATAAACAGCAATGTACGCTCCCCTCCCCCTCCCCTAAAACCTAGACTTTTTAACCTTTGTACGTACCTTGCTTGTGAACGTGTTTTAGATTTGGAATATCGACGCTGCAGGGGACATTTTCTTTGATGAACTTTTATCATTCAGCGTTTCATCCGTAATTTCCAGACATTTCTCTTTTTCAACACACTCGCCCGTGTAAAGGTGATCCGCTTGTGGCCCGCCATGGTATTCCTTTGAAGCGATATCTCACATGGAACCCAGATGTTTTTCTAGCCAAAGCTTGCAAAAAACATTCCCACCGTCTCTTTGTTTTAAAATAATTCTTCACCCTGTCAGCGTCTTTTTACCAACTTACTTTTTCTTCTAACGGTCTCCGGCCAAAAGTTATTTCGTAAAAAGACGCTTCAAACGGCCCATGGAGGCTTTAAAATATCACAGATGCGTCGATTAACATTCCATTTAACTTAATTGAGATAATCAGACCGAGATGTAATTGACACAGGCAATTTTCAGAGCTTTATTCATTACCCTGATAGATTTTGTTTGTCTCGTGTCAACAATTATTAACCACGTATACATAGTGTGGTATGGCTGTGTTCGGACGCTCTATCAATGAGCTATGGGAGATTCGTGGCAGGCTATAGTGGACCTCAATGAATAGGCTTTTTGACTTGATTTTCTCTGAAAAGGAGGGAACCAGCAGCAAACACAAGCATACAATCCGAATTTAAAAAAAGCATAACTTTTTGTGTTGCTTGTAGGGCCAAAGTTAGTCATAAAATTCATCGAGAGAAAAACTTTATTCTTTAACCGTCAAGATCAAATTAGAAATTCTCCCTTATGGCCTCTTAAATCAGTTGAGAGAACTTGGTGTTCTATCAATTGGACACTTTGTCTGAAAAGCTTGGCTTTTTTCTGTATCTGTTTATTGGATGTTATAAATGCAATGATGTTGTGATGCATGAGAAATTACAAGTTAATTTTCAAGAATTGAAGCGAATATATTTGATAAATATATATATGTTATTTGCCGGCTGGGAGGTCCGTATGGTGAAAAACTGTGACCGAGGCCTTGAAAATATATATTTGAAAATATTTTCAAGACCGAGGAACTTGACGAGATTCTTTCCGAAAGAACCCGAATGATTTAGGGCTGTAAATACGGCAAGATCTTCCATAACCTGAACAGTTTTTGAGCGAGTAACTGGTTAAAATAGAGTGATGCAAATTAAAGAGAGATACCTCAGCGAAACATTTTCATTTCCGCAACGATAAAGGTGATTTAAAAGGCTTCTTAACAAACTTTGAAACATTATTTTTACAAGTATCTGTCACAATCTGACACCTGTCAATTAGAGAGCGCGTAAGAAAAGCAAAAAAGAGCGAGAAGATTTGAAAAACAACGGAACTAGTTTGGCAAGGACTGTCACGACAATGTTTTCTTCAAAAACAGTCAATGATCTAACGGAAAGTATTATTCACTCTGATTGACGATTCATTCATGTTCGAAGATTTACCTCCGTTCATGAAGGAAACGGCGAGGAAAGTAATTGTGAGTTATTTCAAATTTCTTAATTTGAAGTTGTGAGAGTTTGCGCGTTTGTTTGCTGCAATGGCGTGTGTAAATCTGGTCTTCCGTCCACAAAAACTAAATTCGAATGGCACACTCCAACGAGACACAAGGGGATTTAGTGCAGCCTTTTCTCAATAAATTACTTCAGTTTCTGTTGTGCAATTTACGGTACAAATGTCCAAATTGAACGGACTTGGAAGACTCACCGGGAGCGTATATTTGTTGTAGAAATGAAATTAAAACTTCTCTCGCGCTTTCACTACGAACAAATTGTTTGAGAAAATTCAGATATTAAATGAATGAAAGTTCCATCGTTCAGTTAACTGTAACCAAATACCTCACGTTTTAACTTTCTAGGTATTTTTTGTGAACGATTAAAATTAATTGCAGACGGTTTATAGGCCGCTTGTCAACCAACGTAATGACGCTATTGCTTAAACAAATTCATACTGAAACCAATATATTTTTCAACCAAAGCGATTTGAGAGTGAGAAAAGAGAGGATTCATAAGTTATTTATCAGCTTGAGGTAGTGGCCGATGTGTTGATTAAAAATACCGCCCAGCCGGAAAAACGAGATGCATTTATGAAAAATGGTAACGAAAGTTGGGATGTACTCGGCGACTCACGAAAGCGTTACCGTGGCCCGTG